TTCAGGCGGATTTAACGCTGGCAAGTGGCTAAGACGCAAAGAGTCCTGTAGATGGCTGTGGCTAAGAATCCGATGTTTTGACATTGAACATGTTGTGCATTGCTGTGTGTTTGCTCTAGGCGGGTGTCTGTCATGCACACACTTCTGGGAAAGGGACACTCGCTGGTTGCAGATTGCATTATCCCCAAGGACAGATTGTGAATTGTGCTTTCCAAGAGTATGCAACAGCTCATTTGACTTGCTTGAAACCAGTAAACAACCAATCATATCCCATGTGCCATGTGCAATCTCTTTTTTCTGTCCAGTGCTTAAGAACCGAAAAAAACACCACCCGAAACAGCCTTCCAGACACCAGCGATTCTTCCAGACTTCCAGTCCCCCCACGTCGCAGGAAGTGTGTCAATCCATCCTTCGTACCACGCCCTACAGGCCGGGCATCCCATGTCGACCGATGGAGAGATTGCGGCGGTCGCGGGTCGCAGGACGCGGAGCGACGCGGGACGCGGGTCCGCGACGCTCCGCTCTCGAGGCTGCAACGTTTCCAGAAGATGCACAACCGAACCAACGAGTTCATCGGTGGAATCAGCTGCTGCTTGGTGTGAAACAAGATGGTAAGCTCAAGGGAAACATAATAACAGTGCAAGAAAAACATCAGATGTTGCTTGGGGGTTTCCACATGCTTTGGTGTGGTTCGAGATGTGAGAACAACTATTATGCTCCTTGGCCGTCTGGAAGTCTCACAGAAGAGCGACTTGACGGTGGCAGCAGACCGTCCCAGGCACGGCACACGTGGCCAACGGCCTGGCAGCTTTCTACATCGCGACTGGAAATGATCCAGCTTGCACCGCGGGGGGTCGCAGTGATTCGATCGAAGAAGTGGTTTTCTTCTCACCTCGGTGTCGTTTTGACGTCAAGGATCAGCTGAAGAAGACACATCACATCAGCCAAGGCCAACAAGAACCATCCGAACAATATTAGCTCCGGTGCATGTTACTATAGTATGTATGTCTTAGACGTGTTCAATATGCTTTCGTTCCAATGATGGTCACCGCAGACCGCAGGCTCCCTCCCCTGGTCACACATCTTGGGTGATACCTCGCCACGACATCGCACCGCGAAGCGACACAGCGGTGAATCCTTCGGCGAGGCTGAATCACAAGCAGCAGTCACGCACTTTGACCTGGTGAATCCTTCGGGCGGTGTGAGTCTCAGTAGCTGCATTGAACAAAATCGCAAAGAAATGGAGATATATAGAGAGCTGAGCGGAACGGAGTGGAACCATGAATTGCTGCCAGCTGCCAGATTCCAGCGGATGTTTACGGATTCGTTTGCCCAATTCTTTTGGCGGTCATTAAGAAAAGTGGAATGGGTGGGTTGGGAATGGTTGGGAAAACAATATAAAAGACATGAGACTTAACGACAGAATGGGATGCTTCATGTTGTTCACTCCTTTTTCCGGATGATGTGCTCAGTTTCCTGTTCATGTGCGGGCGCATGCACACAGACACACAGCGGGAAATTGGGTATGACATGGTATGACTCAGTATGACTTCAAGGTTCATGTCCAGTGGAGGTTTTCTGACTGTGGTCCCCACATAAAGTCTCCGCTCTTGAAGTCTGGCAATGAATTCTCACTGCAGCTGCAGTTGGTCCAGGCTCCACCGGCCTTTTTGATCAAGACTTGTACGCCAGCATCACCTTGAACTCCATCATCGTTGGGAGCCCCGACCGATCCATCGGATCTCGATCTGCCAAATGCCAAGTGCTTGGATAGCTCGGATCGGTCGGATCATTCAGTTGATTGGCCTCAAGTCATCGGTCGATTGGAATGGCACGAAATCGAAACGGAACCGCTTCACATCGGTGGAGATGAACTAGAGAACTTTGTGATATTTTGTGAGTGTTTTGAACCGCTTCCAATTCTTGGCCCTGAAAACATCGCTGAGTAAGTTAGGAGGGCTTTTGGTTGCTGATGGTGATGTCTTCTTCGTCCTTTCCGTTCGCCCCACGATCCGCGCCGTTCGCAGATTGCGAGCGTTGGTGGTGGAACCTCGCTGCCCTCGTTCCAGGCGAGAAAACTGGACAAACGACTTCGACGCACTGAAGGATACCACTCACCCCTTGAAGCTGGTGGGAAGGTGCAGCATAGTGGGAAGGATTTTTCGGGTGTGGTCAACTAATGTAGACTGAGCTGCAGAAGACCAAGATCACAAAGCTGCAGAAGACTTCTGAGTAGAACTAAACTGAGAATTTATTCACGTCGCTTCGCGACGGTAACCGCCCGCACCGCATGGAAGGGGCCAATATTTCAGTGACTTCTAGGGCTATGTTAGGCAATATCTTCACTCTATTCCAGTCCCTTTTGAGCCTTCGTTGGGCCATGTTTACGACGTTCAAGTACCTATCTCGGCGAAGCATACTTGAGATAGTGACTTCTGGGGTTATGTTCGACCATATG